AGTGGCCTCAACCAGCTTGAGGCCGACGTCAAACACGGACTGTCCACTGCATGGTGTTTGGCGTTCCCCTAACCCTATTATGCTTTAGTATTCAATAGTTACCTAAACCCTTGAAATTCTTATTTATCAACGATCATTTGGTGGAATCGAGGTTCTCACACACTATTTTAGTCATCCAAAAACGGAGGCGAACTTGCTTCTTGCCTTTTGGTGGAGTGGAATGTCTTGACTAAATCACCCCTTTTCTCTTCCTGCATGTGTGTCCTGCTCCGCAGGTAAAGCAACATAGTGCAAAAATATAGCCATAGTAAGCATTTCCTTATCGCTAAAGATAATATCGTTTCATTTGTTTCCGCTTGTATAAAGAGGTACCGTTAGGATAAAGAACACAAAATGGGTAATTCGAAGTCGCCGGTGGGGAATGGCTCTCATAATCTAGCAGAACGGGGGAAATTTCTGGGACGGTTTTCCTTCAACACACGGCTCCTCTTGCTTCCAAAGTGCTTCGCCCTTGTTGTCGTGGCATACGCCCTGTGCCTCGCCTACACAATGCGTATCCTCAATGTGAAGAAGTACGGCGAGCTCATCCACGAGTTCGACCCATGGTTCAACTACCGGGCGGCGGAGTATCTTAGCGAGCACGGCTGGTCTTCCTTTTTCACGTGGTTCGACTACATGAGCTGGTACCCCCTTGGCCGCCCGGTCGGCTCCTCGATCTACCCCGGCATGCAGCTCACCGCGGTGGCAATCCACCGTGTGTTGCGTGCGGTTGGCATCCCCATGTCCCTCAACGCAGTCTGTGTGTACATCCCGGCGTGGTTTGGCGTGGCAGCGACGGCTGTAAACGCGCTGATCACTTATGAGACAACAGGTTCCCTCCTGGCGACTGCGGTGGCGGCGTACACCTTCTCCATACTTCCAGCGCACCTGATGCGATCCATGGCCGGAGAGTTCGACAACGAGTGCATCGCCCTAGCTGCGATGTTGCTGACCTTCTACCTGTGGATCCGATCACTGCGAAATGCGCGGTCGTGGCCAGTGGGGCTGGTGACAGGGCTGGCGTATGGCTACATGGTGGCAGTGTGGGGAGGGTACATATACGTGCTCAATGTGATTGCGTTGCATGCAGGGCTGTCAGCGCTGCAGGACTGGGCCCTCAACAGGTACCGACCCTCGCTGCTGCGCGCCTATTCGCTGTTCTTCATCGTGGGGACCGCCATCGCAACGCGCGTGCCCCCTGTGGGGATGGCGCCGTTCAAATCCCTCGAGCAGCTCTCTGCGCTGCTGGTCTTCGTTTTCCTGTGGGCGCTGCATGTGTCGGAGGCCCTTCGGAAACGCGCTGGTGTTAAGGGCATTCGGTCCCGTCAATGTCTCCGCATCCGCCTCCGTGTTCTCTCAGCAGTGGCGTGCGGGTTGGCACTGGTGGTGGCAGTGCTGTTGCCCTTAGGGTACCTCCAATCGTTCTCTTACCGCGTGAGGGCGCTGTTTGTGAAGCATACAGTCACCGGGAACCCCCTTGTTGATTCCGTTGCGGAGCATAGCGCAACGTCTCCTGAGGCATTCCACGCATTCTTACATATCTGTGAATCCGGATGGGTTTTTGGGATTTATATTATTGGTACTGAATTGTGTGGTGAAGGAAACGCCGTCCAAGACCTTCGCAATCGTCTATTCGGTTACGGCGTATTACTTCTCCCATCGCATGTCGCGGTTATTAATCCTCGCGGGGCCTATTGCATCGGCACTAACTGGACTTTTCTTCGGACTAACGGCCGAGTACGCTTTCAGCACATTGTGGTGGGCCGCAACCCCCGGCAATCCCGAGGCGAAGGTCGGTTCAGCATCGGCCAAGAAGAAAGAGGTACCCAAAGCAGACACAAAGCAAGGGGAAGCAGCCCGCAAAAGCAAAAGAACAGGCAGTAGT